TTATTTGCTAATACAAGCGAAAATGCGAGTCCCAGGAAGTAATTGCGCATACGCTGCCCGTATCTGCCACGGCTTTATGCTTACGTCTCTGATGATGAATCCGCGACCAATATCGAAAAGTCAGGCGAATAAAAGTGTTGCCCCAGCGATCGAGTCGTCTTCTTCTCAACTTTGTATTTATTTTTACAACCACTAAGTTTATAACGAAGCGGCCTCTTGGACCTTACATGTACGATTTACTTAATTAACCTTGAGGTGTTGGAAGTAGTTTCAAGTATGCCTTTGATGACAATGCAGTTGCTGCCATCCACTCGAGGGCCATGTGGTGTTGCCTTATTTTGAGAGATTGTAGTACGTTCCTTCCGGTTGTCATCGTCTGCTCTAGCTGATGTTTGTAAGGGCAGAGTTAATGCCAGGTTCCGCGGTTAATTATGCCCTTAGATCCGTTTTAACCTCCGATGGCACTCTTTTGCTCGAATGGTGCTAAAGCTGAGCCCACTTATACTAACCTTTTAGTTTAATTCGTCTTTTTGGGGTACCCGAGTATGCTTCTTTGTTTTCTGAGAAACTTGTCGGTCGACCGTTTTCCGCGTCTGTGGCTGGTTAAGGGTTCCACCAATCCGCATCTTACTATTCGAGTTCATCCGCAATAAGCTACACGATAATACAGAAAAGGACAAGATACAGGTAAAAAAAACAACGGCAACATTTCTAAATGCAATGAAATAAAACCGTAAAAATCAGTCTACTTTCCTGCCTTCCGGGGTTTAGACGGCACCGAAGATGTGGTTTACAAATAAACCTTATTATTATATAATTATAAATTTGGGAAAGATAATTAAGCCAGTAAGCTAATACGGTGCCGTAAAGTTCCAAAAATTAGCGCACGCGGGTGATAATAATAATAAGGTTTATTTGTAAAGCACATCTTCGGCGCCGTCAAAAACCCCAGAAGACAGGTAAAAACCTTATGAATAGTTCATCCCGAAATTAAAAGGGACCGGAGAGTCTTTGGAATTCCCAATTTCTACAAACCTGTAGTCGTTAAAAAACATTTCATAAACTGGCGTGGACCACAGTGTTCAACTAATTGAGCTTGTAGGATAAAAATATTACGACAAGTCAGCAAGTGACCGGTACAGCTAAACATTCCGTCTACGCAGGTCAAACAATTTGGTACCTAATCCAAAGCTAACCGAATTTCCCACTGATTTTCGTCATTTACTGAATCAGGTTATTCCATCTATTGACAGAATACACAATAAACAAATTTTATAGTTTAAACGCTCAGAGGGCACTATCAAAAGAAAGTGCGTAGTGACGTAGAATTATGACAGTTAACACATTATCTGTGTGAGCTAAAGGGTATACAGTAAAATTTAGAAGTAGTGCGGTAGGCAGATTATTTAACATCCGCTGGCGAGTTGTCTTTTCAAAAAAAGTAAACTGTCTTTAGAAGAATGGTGAACTAGGAACGAAGCGGTGAAAAAAACTACTACGATCAACATGGGAGCAGAGGTCAGTGACACCAACTTCAAAACAGCTGCGAGAGAGAAAATCTGTTTCATGAGGAGATACGAAGAAGCAGAGTAGTTTGAGTCTAACTATAGAATGATATTATAAAATATGTCCAGAAAATGGGTGTAAAATGTCGATAAAATGCATTCAGTGGCGCTAGATCTCATAAAAACTCAGCGAAAAACGCAAATGCACATGGGGGCTCAAATTCTCAGTACCAAGAGTGGACTTCTGTTCATATTTAGCCTCTTATGATACGGATCGCACCGATTTATAAGCGGTCTGCGTTCTGTTATTATAGTTTGAACAGGCCCAAAGGTCTAGCAGATAAGTTAATTTGTCAGTAACTCTTTGTATTAGACCTTTTAGTTTGTGGTTAGCTGCAGCGATACCCCAATTAATGCATGATCTTTACGTGGATAGCAGGGAACTAAGGCAGTCTAACTCATGTATTCTGGAGCTGAATCAGCTCACCTTTGGTGTATGCATACAGTTTGCCATCCGGTTTGTCTGGTTATCGATCTACTGACTTATAAAATATCATTTTATAATTCCTTAAGCGGTAAATTACTAGGCTGTTCGAAAAGACGACGTAGGGTGACAACTTCAATAGGCTCAATAAAGGTATTATTGTAGACGAATTATGCTTATTAAATAAGAATTACTGCAGATTTGATTCTGCTACTCGAGTGTTGCGTGAAATAAAAAAGAGATACACATTGTTTTACTTTGCCTCTTTGCATGCCTATTAGCGCGTGCACTATTTAGTGTCAGTACAG